ACATAAAGGAGCTGGGTGCCTACTGCAGGCAAATGGATAGAGGATGTGGTATATATACATAAAGGAGCTGGGTGCCTACTGCAGGCAAATGGATAGAGGATGTGGTATATATACATAAAGGAGCTGGGTGCCTACTGCAGGCAAATGGATAGAGGATGTGGTATATATGCATAAAGGAGCTGGGTGCCTACTGCAGGCAAATGGATAGAGGATGTGGTATATATGCATAAAGGGGCTGGGTGCCTACTGCAGGCAAATGGATAGAGGATGTGGTATATATGCATAAAGGGGCTGGGTGCCTACTGCAGGCAAATGGATAGAGGATGTGGTATATATACATAAAGGGGTACTATTCAGTTACAGTAAAACCAGGGGATCCTGCCATTTGCTATAGCACAGCTGAAACTAGAGGACACTATACTAAGTAGAGAAGATACACACAGAAAACTACTGCCTGGTTTCATTTATATGTGGAATCTAAAACAACTTAGAATATACAGATACAGCATAAAACACTGTTTGGTGGAGACAGAGTAATGGGGAGGAAATGAGATGAGGTTAAAAGATATAAAGCATGGGCGGGCAAGATGGTCCAAATGCAGGCACTCCGTGCCAAGCTTGATACCTGAGTTCAATCCCCAGGACCTACATAGTGAAAGGACAGGCTGGTCCCCTGCAAGTTGCTATGCACTCATAATTTTTTTTTTTTTTTTTAGTTTTTCCAGACAAGGTTTCTCTGTATTGCTTTGGAGGTTGTTCTGGAACTCGCTCTGTAGACCAGGCTGTCTTCAAACTTAAGAGATCTGGCTGCCTCTGCCTCCCAAGTGCTGGGATCAAAGGTGTGTGCCACTACTACCTGGGCTAAAAATAATTCTTAAAATATATAAACGATTTGCCTGGCCAGGCGGCAGTGGAACAGGCCTTTAATCCTAGCACTTGGGAGGCAGAAGTAGGGGCAGGTAGGTCTCTGGGAGTTTGGGGGCCAGCCTGGTCTAGAGTGAGTTCCAGGATAGCCAGGGATGTTACACAGAGAAATCTTGTCTCAAAAACAAAAACAAACAAAAATAACAACAACAACAAAAACAAAAAGAACAAACTTGCCTGATTTGGTGACTTGTGGCTATAATCCAAACACTAGGGAAGCAAAGGCAAAGTCCTGAAATTCAGGCCAAACTTTGGTACACAGTGAGAATATTAAAACAAAACAAAACAAAACCAATAACCAAACCAAAGTAAACAAAAAACTAAAACTGACAAAACAGTATTTGTCATGAATAAGTCTAAAGATTCGGTAAATGTTAGGATCATTGGCAATAATATTGTATCACATTTAGGATTTTTTCCTCTCATATTACATCCCAATCAATTTGCACTCCCTTCTCTCTTCCCATATGTGACCGTCAGAGGACAATTTATGGGCACAAGACAGCTTGGGGACAGGCCCCATTATCTGGTGAGCTCTCTTGTCTGCCCTATAGCATTATTTAAAAAACAACACTCTTTACTTATTTATTTGAGACAGGGTTTCTCTGTATTGCTTTGGAGCCTGTCCTGGAACTAGCTCTGAAGACCAGGCTATCCTCAATCTCACAGAGATCCACCTGCCCCTGCCTCCAGAGTGCTGGTATTAAAGGTGTGTGCCACCAAGGCCCAGCTAACACTATTTTTGAGACAGGATCTAACCATTGTAGAATTGGATACCCTGTAACTTGCTATGTAGATCATGCTAAGTCATAGAGATTTGCCTGTATCATCTTCCTTAATGCTTGGATTAAAGGCACAGGCTACTATGGCTGTCTTAAAAAATAACTTTTAAAAAGAAAAAAAAAATTAAACCAAGCATGGCAGTACATGACTGTAATCCAAACATGTTGGGGTCAGAGGGAAGACCAAGCTCTTGCCTCAAAAAGTCAAAACAAAAGCAAAGGGACTTTTTTCTTAAACAATAGAAAACCACTTTAGTGTGTGTACATCCCTAGATTATAAAAAAAGCATACATACCTTAGCCAGGTGGCGGACACCTTTAATCCCATCTCGGGAGGCAGACATAGGCAAATCTGTGAGTTCAAGAGGTCAGTCTGCTGTATAGAGTGAATTCCAGGATAGCCAGTAGTGTTTCAGAGGAACCCTGTCTCCCCCACAAACAAAACAAAAACAAACCAAGCAACTGACTAAAATATTCCCGCTGGGAGGTGGATATGGGAGAACACATACTTAATCCCAGCACTCAAGAGGCAGATCTGCAAGTTTACAACTAGCCCGTTTCAGGCCAGCCAGGGCTCCATAATGAGACCTTCCCTCAATCAACATGCAATGACACAAGTCCCCCACCCCCAAATGACTGTTGGGTCTGGTGTCTTGGGTTAGTGGATATAGGCATGTGCTGCAGAGCCTGACTTGAGTTTGATTCCTGATATCCACACCATTCAAGGACAATTCCTCCAAGTTGCTCTCTCATCTCCACATCCACTAAATAAACGTAATCTCAAGATAAAGAAAAAAAACCCTCCCTATAGTTGGGCATTAGGGGGTCCTCCCACTGTAGGTGCTTGCTTATGGGTACTTTCCTTAATGTCACAGGCCTTGCCTTAGACATAGCTCAAAGTTGAAGAGTGATGCTTTCTCCTGGATGCCCTGAAGCCTCAACCCAGCTCTTAAGATTTCGTATTCCCCCAGTCTAGGTCTTATGTCAAAACCCAGAAATAAAACAATACTTAAATTTTAAATTATGTTACATGTGATCTAATGCTATTGCACAATCCTGCTTGGGGAATAGTTATCCTTTTGTCCTGCACAGCCGTAGTCTACAACCATACTGTATATACTAACAGCCCATTTGTTTTTGTTATCACATCAGCTGTCCCTTTCTTCACTTAATGGCCTCAAGGCACAATAGTGATGCTGGCAATTTTATTAGTGGAGCCATAATTGCTCAAATATGTTGCTCTCATATAGTGCCTAGTTTATAAGTAAAACTCTACCATAGGTATGCATGTATAGGGAAAAAAACTACTACATAACAATAGGGTATGTAAGACCTATGGCTCCAGGTATCAAATATGGGTCTTAGTATTATCTATAGGTAACTTCTGAAATGATAAACCTTGACACTGATTCAATACTTCAGGAAGTAGCATAATTAGCTCCCTCAACTTCTTTTAAAAAAAAAGTGTCAGATTATTTTAGACCATCTGGAATCACTTTTGTCAAAAGTTTAGCTATAATACAACTATCCCCCTATTTAATAAAAGGATAATGAAATAAAAAGTAGATCCAGGGTTAAAAAAAAATCAAAACAGCCCAGTGGTGACACACACCTTTAATCCCAGCACTTGGGAGGCAGAGGCAGGTACATTTCTGAGTTCAAGGTCAACCTGGTCTACAGAACAAGTTCCAGCTATAGAGAAATCCTGTCTCGAAAAAGAACAAAGGGGCATTCCCCACCCAGCTCTAAAATCACGGTGGGTCTCAAAGAAAACCTACATCCTTATATAGTCATGCACAAAAAAAAAAAAAAACGCATTTAAAATTTTTGAAATAAGCTGGGTGTTGGTGGCACACGCCTTTGATCCCAGCACTCAGGAGGCAGAGGCAGGCGGATCTCTGTGAGTTTGAGACCAGCCTGGTCTACAGAGCTAGTTCCAGGGCAAGTTCCAAGGCCACAGAGAAAGCCTGTCTCAAAAAACAAATCTTGGAATGAATTATAATTTATGTTTAATTTCTACATGCTCACAATCTCAAGTTTTATTTAGAAAGGCTGAAATTAAATGGCAAACACTGGTGTAGGAGAGGAATCATCATGCTAGGCAAAATTGGTTCAAAACTAATAGGAATTTGGATCCCAGAAAGTGGCAGGAACCCAGAGGCATCATATCCTATAATCTGAGTGTACTACACAGAATTAGATTTCTTCTAATTCTCAGCAAAGTCTTTCCATTGCTGCTTTGCTTTTTTTCTTAAAAAGGAGGCCTAAATAGTTTGGGGGAAAAAAGACACAGCAGACAGCAAGACATCTGAGACAAACTTTTGGCAGAGAAATCAGTAGATATGACACACACCCAAAATTACATACAGACATTTATTAAGTTTTTCCTATAAGACACTGTAACACCAAATTGTATAGCATAAATCTGTTTAACTGAGAGGCCAAATGGATCCAAGGAAGATGAAAAATTAAATACTTAAATTAATCAAAAGGCACTATGATACCACCTAAAACCTACTACCACAGTGGCAGTAGGCTAAGGAAGAATTGCGCTACAGCAAGTTATCTAATATGAATGTTAGCAGTTACATAGCAAGAAGCAATCTGTCTTATAAGATTATGGTACAATGATCACTTAGTCCAAGGTATTTGGCCAGGAAAAGGCCAAGACAGCTGAAGGTCAAGCCAAATGGAAAGAACAGGCGTAGAGAATTCAAGCTATAGAGTTAAACAGATGGCAATGGATCAGGCTTCTTCCTCCCAAAAATTAATTACTGCATTGAGCTATCTGCCCCTGCCTAACAGGGTGTTCAACTACTAGAATTATGCTTAAGGATGCCCAGGGTTCTTGCTGTAGTATAGCACAAACCCGAAAATGTATCCTATACGGGATGGTTTTGTTACTAGTTATTCTGAATGAAGAAAAACCCCAAAGCAGGCACATGCAATGGAGTGTGAGCTTTGTCAATCACATCCTAAGGACCTTGTGGAATACTCTCAATAGTCTACACATCTTTCAGCAACTGAGCTCGAGTTAGAGCTGCAAGGCTCACAAAATAGACAAGAAAGCCAGGATGAAACAATGCAAGTAGGACATCCTAGCAGTTAATCACAATGTCTTTTTCCAATGTAGGCTAAATTCTAATGTATCTAATGTGGGATGTAAAAAGCTACACTGGAGCAGGCTGGGTCTTCTGATGAATGATGAATTCATCAAATACCAAAAAAAAAAAAAAAAAAAAAAAAAAAAAAATCCAAAACAAAAAACCAGGGGTGGGGTGGGTTTATTTTCAAAATGCTTCAGAAGTTATTCTATTATAAAGGAACATGGCTGAACAGGTAGGAGACAGACTCTCCATTGTGGGTTCTCCTGATGGCTTCTGCAAGGATCATGGAGATGTCAATCACCTAGGAAAAGGCAAGAAATGTACCAGGTTAGGAGGCAGGGACAGAGATTGTTGGTCCATCTGCAGCCTAGATGAGCAGCCTGGAAAACACCCTTATTAAGGATCTAGCACTCAGTTCCTCTCTTTTTTCTATAATTAGTTAGAACGAGTTAAGATGCTAATATAGGACAAATACAAGATCATTAAAACATTGATGCTATCTACAGAGGCCAAGTATGTGTGTATACCACCTGAAGAGATGGCTCAGTAGTTAAGAACATTTACTGTTCCAGAAGACTAGAGTTCAGTTCTCAACACATGTGACGTAGCTTACAACCTCCTGTAAATCTAGATCCAGGGAATCTGATGCCCTTTTGGGCGTATGCTCTCACATGCATGCACACGCCAGGTGGTGGTGGCACACCACCTTTAATCCCAGCACTTGGGACCCGGAAGCAGGTGGATCTCTGTGAATTTCAGGCCAGCCTGGTCTATAGAGGGAGCTCTAGGACAGCCAGGGCTTCACTGAGAAATGCTGTTTTGAAAAACAAAACAAAAATCTAAAAACAAAATACTAAACAAAAATAAATATGCCTATAATTGTAGCATTTGGGAAGCTGGGACAAGAGGATTGCAATGAGTCTTAGGCTACCCTAGTCCACAGTGTGCCCTGTTTAAAAAACAAAAACAAAAAAAGTAACAACAAAAACAAAAACAAAGTTAACCAGGTGGTGATGGCACAGGCCCTTAGTTCTAGCACTTGGGAGGCAGAGGCAGGCAGATCTATTTGAGTTCAAGGCCAGCTTGGTCTACAGAGTGAGTGCCAGGACAGCCAGAGCTACAGAGAAACCCTGTCTCGAAAACCTCCCCCCAACCAACCAACCAACCAACCAACCAACCAAACTCAGTTTCCAGCACTTAAGGAAACTCAAAACCACCTTTAGCTCCCGTTTCAGGGGATTCAATACCATCTTTAAGGCTCTGAAATTCACACAAGCATATAAATACAAATGATTTAAAAATGTTAATGTAAAAGCATAGTAAAAGTACACAAAGCTGGATGTGGTCAGGCACACCCTTAACCCCAGCACTCTGGAGGCAAAGGCAGGTAGATTTTTTATTTCAAGGCCAGCCTAGTCTACATACAAGATTATTTATAGGCCAACTAGGACATGTCTCAGAAAACACATAAGCAAACAAACAGAAGGACTCCAAAACAACATAGGCCAAAAAAAAAAAAAAAAAACCCAAAGGAAGGAAGCTAGGCCCTTAGCTACTTCCGGGACTGAAGTAGAATGATTTCAAATTCAAGGCCTACCTGAGCAACTTAATAAGAGTACACAAAAAAGCACAAAGATAGGGCCCTGGAGACCATTCTCAATGCCAAAAGAAAAAGGAACAATGGATAGCTACAGAAACTCAGTGGTAGACTGCTTACCTATAGGAGCAAGACTCTGGGTTCCAACCCAAAACAAAAACCAGATAGACACAAAAAGTTAAGCTTCAGCATTCACATACCCGACATAACATGTTATTACATGCAAAACACTGAAGCAAAGTTTTGTTTTGTTTGGATTAATCTCATTTCACCTGTATTTTAGAGCAGTGTTTCATCTTATCCTCCTGAGGTATGGTATTGGTGACTACTACTGCTTCAAAGCATGCATTGTTGATTCGAGAAATAGCTGGACCAGAAAAGATTCCATGAGTCAAGATAGCATAAACTCTAGTAGCTCCAGCTGAGAGAAGTCTAGAAGAAAAAAAAAAAAAGCCGATTAATATGACATGCAACCTCAAAATCTGAATTAGGAAGAAGAAAGAGTATTAGTCTGTCATAACAGTATCAGAGTCTCGTTAGTTTAAGTACAAGCTCATGGTTCACAGTTCTGGAGTCTGACAAGTCCAAGATCAAGTATAGACAAGATAGGTTTCATTTTGCAACTTCTTTTTTTGGTTTGGTTTACAGTATCTAACATTTTGTGTGTTCACACGACTTTCTAGTTCACATGTAAAGATAGTGTAGCAAGCATTTTCTTCTAATAAGGTCACTAATTACAACATGAGGGTTCTTTCTCAAGACTCATTATTTAAGACTAAATGCCCCCAAGGGTAATCTGCAGAACCATACCCGGGGCTAGAAGTCGACAAATTAATTTTAGAGGGTCACAGTATTGGTCACATCAAGAAGTGAAGTCCAAACTAAACCTTATCTTGATATTACTCAGAAAATTTCTAGGGGTAGTCTGTGTCCTTTTTCCTTTCTGGCTGGTAAAAAGACCAATGTCCTTCTATGAAACCTGGAAAACTATATGATAAAGATATGGTACCACAAATCTGAAAATCTATGACCCTGAAAATAAGCATAACCAGGAATACCAGCATTTGACTGTGCTTGCTGCCCAGCCTGCTGACCTGACTTGATCATTGGGAACTTAGGGGGGCACTATTCCAAAAGTTGTTCTCTGACATCCACATGCATGTCATGCATGTGCACATACGTACACGTACAAAATGAATAAATATACATAAAGGCTATCTATAGATTTCTAACTCATCAAAAAAGTAAACAATGTGTAATATTGTAAATATAATTAATATCACTGAATTTGATAGCTAAAAGAGCAAATTGTACCATCTAGAAATTGTTTTGATTATTCTTGGACTTAAAGATTTTTAAACTTTATGATGGCACATACCAGATTAGGAATTTGGACCTTTCCTTGATCTCGAAATGTGTGTGACCCAAAAACTGTCTCACTGCAGCTCCCAGTCAGCCATGTAATCATGAGGGGAAACAACACAGTCTGCAGTAGATTATGTTACTAAACAAGGGCTTTTGGAAGGTAAAATATGTGATGAACTTAACTTTTGACTTATTATAAAAATAGCGTCTCTATAAAAACTGAGAATATGAAACAAGGAATATTTATTCATTAAGAGCAAGCATGATGAAAATATTCCAAAGCTGATTACCCCTTCAGTTGTGTTTCAAAAAACAAATCAGTAAAACAATAGTTAGCTTTTTATTTTTAGACTTTTTTAAAATTTATTATTCTACATGTTGATCTCAGTTCCCTCTTCCTCCCTCCCTCCCTTTTACCCTCACTGCCTCCTCACATGCACCCTGACCACCCTCCCCTCCCATTCACCCTCCCCAATTCCACATGTAGGGGAATGCCATCCAAGTGGGGTCATTTAGATCTGACAGGTCATTTGAAGTAGGGATTAGGACTTCTCTCCTGTCTCTAGGTTAAGGGAGTTTCCTTCCATGGGGATGTGTCGGCAAGGTCCTTTTGTGCACCAGGGATACATCCTGGCTCCACTGTCTGAGGTCCCTTAGACTGCTCAGTCCTTCTGGCTGAGACCCATATTCAGGGGGTCTGAGTCAGTCCCACGCTGGATTCCCAGCTATCAGTCTGGGGGCCCATTAGCTCCTCCTTGTTCAGGTCAGCTGTCTCTATGTGTTTCTGCAGCCTGGTCTTGTCCTCTCCACCTGCATCTGGATTCTAGTTCGATTCAGTGTTTATGTATGGGTGTTTACTTCTGTTTCCAACAGGTACTAGATGAGGGCTCCATGGATAAGTTAGTTGTTGATCTCACTATCGAGGAAGGGCATTTATGATAGCCTTTCCACGGAAGCTCAAATTGTTAGTTGGCGGCAGTCTTGTAGGTTTCTAGACCTTTCTTTGTGTTCAATTTTATCTTCAAACCAATATTGGCTCCCTCTTTTATGTTCTCTCTCTCTCTCTCTCTCTCTCTCTCTCTCTCTCTCTCTCTCCTGTCTTCTATTCCTACCCTGACTCAATCTTCCTGGTCGCACATGTTTTCCTCTCCTTCCCTTTTCTTTCTCCTACTTCTCTCTCCATTCACTGCCCCCCCCACTTCCCATGTGCTCTGGGGAACTTGTCCCTTCCCGGTTCTGTGAGGGACTTTATATGAATCTCTTAGAATACACCTTGTATCCTAGTTTCTCTGGTGGTGTGAATTATAGGCTGGTGAGCCTTTGCTCTAGGTCTAAAATCCATATATGAGTGAGTATATACTATGTTCCTCTTTTTGTGACTGGGTTACCTCATTCAGGATGGTTTCTTCAAGTGCCATCGACTTGCCTGCGAATTTCAAGATTCCATTATTTTTTTCTGCAGAGTAGTATTCCATTGTGTAGATGTGCCACATCTTCATTATCCATTCTTCAATTGAGGGGCATCTAGGTTGCTTCCAGGTCCTTGCTATTACAAATAATGCTGCTATGAACATAGTTGAACACATATCTTTGTTGTACGGATGTGGATCATTTGGGTATATGCCTAAGAGGGGGATTGCCGGGTCCTGTGGTAAACTAATTCCCCTTTTCCTGAGGAACCGCCATACTGATCTCTAAAATGGCTGTATGAGTTTGCACTCCCACCAGCAGTGGAGGAGTGTTCCCCTTTCTCCAGATCCTCTCCAGCATAAGTTGTCATTGGTGTTTCTAATTTAACCATTCTGTCAGGAGTAAGATGGTATCTCAAAGTTGTTTTTATTTGCATTTCCCTGATAGCTAAGGATGTTGAACACTTTCTTAAGTGTCTTTCAGCCTTTTTGATTCCCTCTATTGAGAATTCTTTCTTCAGTTCTGTACCCCATTTTTAAATAGGGTTGTTTGGTGTTTTGTTGACTAGTTTCCTTGAGTTCTTTGTATATTTTGGAGATCAGCCCTTTGTCAGATGTAGGATTGGTGAGAATCTTTTCCCAGTCTGTGGGGTGCTATTTGGTCTTGTCCACTGTGTCCTTTGCCTTACAGAAGCTTCTAAGTTTGAAGAGGTCCCATTTATTAATTGTTTCACTCAGTGTCTGTGCCCCTGGAGTTATGTTCAGGAAGCGGTCTCCTATAGCAATTTGTTCAAGGGTACCTCCTACTTTCTCTTCTAAGAGGTTCAATGTGGCTGGATTGATGTTGAGGTCTTTAATCCACAATAGTTAGCATTTTACTTCTAACTACTAGCCCCAACACCCTGTACTCACTTGTCAGCAGCATGACAGATTGTACCACAAGTGTCAGCCATGTCATCCACAAGGATAGCCACCCGATCCTTCACATCTCCTACTAGCACCATGCGATCTACTTCATTGGCCTTCTTCCGTTCCTTGTGAATCAAGGCAAAATCTACATTCAATCGGTCTGCAATGGAGGTCACTCTGTAAAACAGGAGAGGTTCAATGTTTAGTTAAAGACATGTACATGGCTTCCAAGGCTGGGAGTGTAGTTCAGTGGTAGACAGCTTTGTCTAGCATGCACGAGGCCCTGGGTTCCATCTCTCTTATCCACCTATACAAAATAATGCATTTTTCCCCTAGGGGAGAATACTCCTTAAAATTAAAACAGATACCAGTGCTTGAAGAAAACAACTATTACTGACATCTCAAAAGCAAATTATTTTTATGGATTAATGCCTCTGTAATATCAAACTTAAAATTACTCAAACGTATTCATTCTGGGGATGGGGTAGACATACCATTCACCAATCCTGAGAAGCAGTGTATGCTCAGGTACATTAATTTAACAGATTGAATGAAGGCAGAAGGAAAGAGAGATCTTTTTAGCTAGTGCAGGGAGTACAGATTGACCCACTTTTCATCACAAAAGATTTGTGATTCTAGAGGTAGTGACTCATGAATGTGAAGCTAGGTGGTGGGGAGCAGCACCCATCCTTGCAATGCATGTCCATACACTCATCTCTCCAACAACAGTGGTGAGACCACCACCGACGGTAAATGTCAACTGTACCTGGTCACCAAGCTCGATTCCTTCTATAAATGCTAGAAAGAAAATTAAACCAATTAACCAGACAAATAGGGCATGTTACTACAGCCCAAATTATCAAATGCAAAGAGAACTTTTGCCCCTTATTAAAGCCACATTAAAAGGCAGGTTAGAAGACAAATCTGAGAAGGAAGGACAACATAATCCACTCAAGGAGAAAGTCACTCAGTGTAAATGACAATAGGTTACCCTACCCCTGTGACACATGTACCCACATACCACTGTGCAATCTTTGTCATAAAGAAAAAAAGACTCATGCTTCAGGTCGAGTGTTTTTATATGTAACATTGATCAAACTTTAAGCATTATGGTCTGTTTCTCTTGTGAACAGAGTTTTTGCTGAATAGGCCAAAAGACCCCTGACCATAAGTTTGAACCACAACTCTGGGCACCACTTCTACCTGAATCTAAAGGAACCACACCTTAAGCTCTCTATTACTACTGGTTAGGCACCCACCATCAGACGTAACCAATTTACTTGGAATAATAACACACAAGACAAATGCATGATCAGTTACCAAGTGTTCCACACTGTTCATGCTCATTGGCCAACATACTCAGTCCCCGATAAAACAGAAAATGGTTGGAAATGTAATCCATACATTGTTGGGTGGAGAGCTACTGTGCAAATCACAATCATACTGGAATCCATACCTACTCCCCAACCCTGCCAAGACAGAAGTGAGGATCACTCACTTGGAAAATATTCCATCACTATGAAGTAATTAGAATGAAAAAGAATTACAAACCTAAAGTCATTATGTTAAAAAAAATCAATTTGAAATATGTAAAGATAATGCTTAAGAAGTTAAGACGCAGTGTGACAACTGCCTATAAAGGGATGGTTTTATACTGTCATTAGATGTCAGAGGACAACTAAATATCAAATGGAATTCATCAAGTGGTACATCTGGCTGAATAAATATTCAAGTCCTCAGTTTATCTATTCCACTGCAGTTACTGAAATTAAAGAGATGGTTGAGAAAGGCTTGAATTCTTCATGATTTATGTCACTTTTGAGAAGTTCTTTCTACTCATCTGAGTCTTGCAGCCCTTCACTCTTATTTCCACAATGAACATGTGTCATATTTTTATAAGCAATCCACTAAGAAAGTCAAAGACTCTTAGTCTGTACCATTTGAGATATAAAGTAGTATAACTGCTAATCCTTGGCAATAATAATAAGTTTTGTTAAAAAAAAAAAAAACTAAGGTCCTGGCTTTAATTTTAAAAACCATACTTTATTTCCCATTTTGCTTAGTAATTTTAACCCTAAGGATCAAATGGTCCAACCAACAGCTTTATAAGAGGCATATAAAGCTTAATTATCCATTAATACGGGGTTTAAGAATAAATTCATTGCAAATGAAATTTCCTACCCTTCCTGAAAATGTTACAGCAGTGTTGTTAACTCTGCAGTACCAAGTTACTAATGTAACGGTCAAGCCAAGAATGGAATGACTACTTAGGGCCCTTTCTACCCTGCCTTCCAAATGACTCAAGCCAGACAGTATAGAGTGCAAACTATACCAAAGCTATGTACTAACCTCTGGCACATCCAATCTGAAGCTGAGAAAGTGGCACTCTGATGGCAAAATGTCACTTTTGGATATTACTATCTGAAAGATTTTAGTAGTACATTATTTTTTAAGAACAATAATAATTACAACCATACCTCTTGGCTCCACCAGCGTCGGGTGAGACAATAGTACAGTTTCTCCACTCAGATATATTCTCCTTTATCCACTTTAAGACCGCTGGCTCTGCATATAAATTATCCACTGGGATATCAAAAAAGCCCTGGAGAAAGAAGCTGGGTCAGGTTTGGTTTTATTTCTCTTCTCTTCCATTTATGAAAGGCTAACATACAGTGGATTCAGAAGTTTCATCTATGGTATTATTTGCTGTCAAGTCTGATAACCCGAGGAGTTTGCTCCCTGGGACTCACATGGGAGAACTGACTACTGAAAGTTGTTTTCTGACCTACATACACATGTCCAATGAACAATCAATCAATGTAATTTATATATATATATGCTGGTGAAATGACTCAGCAGGTAAAGGAGCCCATGTTGGGTCTTGAGAACCTACTTGGTAAGAGAACTTCCTGCAAGTTGTTCTTTTACCTCCACACAGAACATGGCATGCATGTATCCATGTACGTATCCATACACACACACACACACACAGTATTTAAAAGGAACTATAAGTTAATGGAAAATACCTGACTACAATATTCAAAGTATTGGGAAGGTAAGCCCAATGGGGTAACTATAAAAATAGCTACCTTGCCAGGCAAGATCAGCAATACCAGGCCTTAGCCAACCCACACCTTACTACAGGAACAAATATAAGCCCCTGTAAACACTCAAGTTCAGCCAAGTACTATGAACTCCAAGCCAACATGTTTACACTCACAGTTTACATGCACTGCTTTATGCTACTTGGCATTTGTGCTGGCCAAACTGGTGAAGCAGCTAGAGATAGTATGACATATAAATTCAGCAGCAACTATTTATAGGAGATGATTATACAGAATAAAGAAATCAGGGGATATGTGTTTTAATTCTAGTTTATACAAACTAGTTGTATTTCTCAATTGTTTCTTTTTTCATAAGATGAGTACACTCCTCTGTCCTATGCACCTCATTGTATTGCCAGAAGACTCAAATGGTAATAGCTAGGAGTTTACCTTTTAAAACAGGGTTTATTCTACAGTATAGGCTGGCTTTGAATTTAATCTCCCTGCCTGGGCCTTCCAGATGCTGAGATTATAGGTATGCACCACCATTTGTAGCTTAGAAAGTATAAAATAAATGTAGTAATTGACTTGTCTTGCTCTGGGTTTAAATGAACAATCTGTAATGTCTGTAGCTCTATAAAGTTAAGATTGATTATTCAAGGGGAATAAACTTGATAACAGATACCACTGTTATCAGCTACACCAGTAATCAGCCAAGTATGTCATAGACAATATTTTAAAACCATAATAATGAACACATATTGTCCTCAGAAGTAACCTGTCACGGTTATGAAGTTAATGTGCTAGTATGTTTAAGTAGAAGTATCCAGGATAGTGCTAATCCTAAAGCCTATGTCCTTCCCATAATATCAAACTGTTTCACTAAGCTCTTGTTTCAGATTTCAGCATCCAGAATGCAGATGTGCACCATCATGTCAGGCTGTCTCCCACCTTTCTAACTCTCAGTACCCAGCTTCCTTCCACTGGTACCTGAATTTGAGACGCATGTAGATCCATGGTGATAATATGATCTGCGCCTGCTACAGATAGCATATTTGCAACAAGCTTAGCTGAGATGGGAGCCCGGCTCTGAAGAGAAGGGAGGAAAAGAAAAAAAAAAGATGAAAACAATTAATTTGCTTGAAAAATATTTACCAAGTACCTATATTTTAAACACATTTTATCACCAAGAACTTCATGATGTGTGGCTATAGATATTTGAGTAGATTATAATCTAATACAAAGAGTAAGCAGTATACTATTGTTTCAAGTAACCGAGGATACAAATTTTAGTAAAGAAAACCATCTCCCTAACATTATCTTATTTTTTTTTTTTTGAGATAAGGTTTCTCTGTGTAGCCCTGGCTGTCCTGGAACTCACAGAGATATAGAGATTCACCTACCTTTGCCTCACTAGAGCCGAGATTAAAGGCACACACTACCACCATGAGGCTTCTTCTTTTTTTTTTTTTAAAATACAGGATCTTTCTATGTAGCTTTGGATCAAGCTGGTCTCACAGAGATCTTCCTGACTCTCCCTCCTAGGATCAAAGGCATGAGCCACATAACTAAGCTCTGGCGGTTTTCTTTTCTTCTTCTTTTTTTTTTTTTTAAAAAAAAAAAAAAACTTATTTAATTACTTTATTTAGGTTTTTCGAGACAGGGTTTCTGTATTGCTTTGGAGTCTGTCCTGGAACTCGCTTTGTGGACCAGGGTGGCTTATTAGAGATCCACCTGTCTCTGCCTCCCGAATGCTGGGATCAAAGGCGTGTGCCACCACTGCCTGGCAAAAATAAGTTTTTAGATGCTCTAATATAACTGATAGTTTGTGACTTTGGTCAATGTTCTCCCCCCCCCACATTAAAAATACTTTGAGCTGAAAGTATAACTCAGTGGTAGCGCACTAGCCCAGCATTAAGCTCTACCAACAGTCTAATACACACACACACACACACACACACACACACACACACACACACACACAATCCATTCCTACCTTATCCTTCTTATCTTGGCGGGCATAAGGGAAACATGGGATGACTGCAGTAACCCGGCTGGCTGAGGCAATCTTGCAAGCATTAATCATGATTAGAAGCTCCATTAGATTGTCATTTATCTCACCACACCCACTCTGAACAATGTAGACATCCTCTCCACGTACACTTTCTCCAATTTCCACACTAAAATAGAAAAAGAGAACATAAGCAAATTTTCTTAAGTACCACACTGTATTTCTTCAGACAGTCACAGCATCAGTACTCATATATGCTATTCATGGGATATATTTCCATGTGGGTATTGATCACTTCAGAACTGGTTTAACAGAAGCAGCTCATTGTCCAGTTCATTCCAGTTCACTACACAAAAACATTCTGAGTTTATAAATGAGACACAGCATGAAAAAGGTCGGTTGACTTTAAAGTACTTATAAAGAAGCAACTGTAACATAATATCATATAGTATCAAATCTGTTATGAATGGTGACTATTCTAGTCACATGTAAGGAAAAGTAGGAATATCCCAAGGAATGTATGTTCTATATTATAGATGCTATACAGAAGACCATACCACACCTAACATAGTGACAGTTCACTCAAATATTAAATACTCATGCTAAACTAAATTACTAGGAATATGTAATGGTGAATGAAACAGATGCAGGCCCTGACCTCATTCTGGGCTAACTATTCTGACCTAAGTAGAAAGTCTTGTTTAATAAAAACTCCCAGAGTGGTCTGGAGGGATGGGTTATAGGCATCTGCACTAATATGGACATATTTCCACACAAACACACATGATTACACAACATTAAAAAAATAAATAAATATTGGGACTGGAGAGATGGTTCAGTGTGTTAGAATGCTTGTCACTCTTGAAAAGGACCTAAGTTCAGTTCCTAGCACCCATAGATGGCTTGCAACCAGCTATAACTCCAGCTCCAGTAGGGCATCTGATTCCATCTGGCCTAAGTAGGAAAGAAATATATGCACATGGTGTGGAAATATACATATAGGCAAACATTCATACACAAAATAAAAATCTTTGTAAAGATAAATATTAAAAAAGTAAACTACTCTATTAAGCAGGCAACATTTTACAAAATAATGAAAATATTATGTGGACCCTTGGTTTTCTATCAATAAAAACACCTAAAAATAATTTAAAGGGATGGGGAAATAGCTCATTAAGTAAAGTACTTGTGTGTGACTCCCATGACCCAAGTTCACAAAGTTGTCCTCTGACTTTCACACATGTGTATATGCGAATACACACACACACACACACACACACATTTAATTAAAAATTACAAAATTGGGCTAGTGTTGGTGGGATCTGTAATCCCAGGACTAAGGAAACTGAGGAAGGGTTATGTGATTGTAAAGACAGGGTATGAAAAATAATAAAAAAACTTTTAAAGGCTTAAGAGAAAAAAATGAAAATGCTAGTTTATATATGAGAGAAAAATCAATACCACTGATGAAACCTTTAAGAGAAATAAAAACAGCTTTGTACGTAGGGATATGGGGAGGTCTGGGAGGACTTGGGTGAGGGGGAAATATGATCAAAATACATTGTATGAAAAAAATTACATAAAAAATTAGGTAAGAAAACACCAGATAATCTGAGAATACTACCAGCATTTAAAGAGAACCGGATGCTAATTTTACAGTCTTTTCCAGAAATGGATAAGAAAACAAGTTCCAACTCAATTTTATTGAGGCCAGTATTACTCAGATACTCAGACCAGATAAAGGCAATATTAAAAGAAAACCATTGAAAGACAAGAGGAGAAAAGGGGATGTAGTCATTACAGAGCAAAGAGAAAGACTCTTTTGGTAATTAACAAGGGTGTTTTGTAATCTTGATGGTTATCTGTGTCAAATACTGATTGTTACATTATACTATAGTTTGCAGAAAGAAAAAAAACCTATAGTCAGAAAGTTATAAAACACTGAATAAGAACAATTAACTCAAAATTCATTTTTTTGTGACACTGGGGATAAACTCATTATTTTTTACATGCTAGGCAAATGATTTACCATTGTACTATACTCTCTGCTCTCAAAATTCAAATTTATTTTGACTTTTTTTTTTGAGACAAGGAAGGACTCATGTAATTCAGTGGCCTGTAATTTATTATGGAGCTGAGAATGACCTCAAACTTCTGATCCTCCTGCCATCACCTCAAAAGGCACCACCATGCCTGCTTCAAAATTCAAGTTTGATGGCACACACTTATAATCAAGCCGTAATATGCCGAGGGCAGCTTAGGATAGACAGTGAGCTCCTGGCTAGTCTGGACCACAGTTTGTGATCCTGTCTCAAAACAACTAACCAAACAAATAAACAGCAAAGAAAAGAATATTATTGTGATCCATTATGACTGGGTATACTCACATAAACCATTACTGCATCTCTCAATTACAGCTGAGGCAACAGAAGTATAAAAAAATGAAGACTCTGCTGTGGTCAGTCAAAAGAACCTACTTTAATTGTTTATTTCTGAGATGATATGAGGGAACTTTGAGAGTTCCAATTTCTGTAGTCATCCTGAAAAATGCTCACCTCTGAGCCAGGGTTGATGGTATACACTTACACTTCTACCCCCTTAGGAAGTTAATGAAAAGACTACACACCTTATAATAGTTCACCCCAAAATATTTTCTCCTGAACTTGTCACCTACCAGTTTTTCTTTTGATCTTGGATATATCCCTTTCTACTTCTTAGCCTCTATACTTCTTCTCAATGTCTGGAATGTTCTATAAATACATTACCCATCAGGCAGTGGTGGTGGTGAATGCCTCTAATCCTAGTACTTGGGAGGCAGAGGCAGGTAGATTTCTGAGTTCAAGGACAACCAGGAGTACACTGAAACCTAGTTGAGGAAAAGAAAACCAAACAAAAAAACCTTACCTATTATTTAGGTCTCTAATTACAATACCTTCTCTGATAGTATTATGAAATTGTGTTTAGAGAACTATTAAAAGAACGGAGCTAAGGTTGTGGTTCAATTGGTAATGTTTTCCCAATGTTCAGGAAGTCTTGGGTTAGAGTCCAACCTGGGTGCAAGTGTAGCCTTTAATTCCAGGTTGAGACAGGAGCATCAGGTTATATAAGGAATTTGAAGATAGCCTAAAATTCTGTCTCTAAAACAATACAACCCAAAATCTGGGTATCTCAGTGGTTAAGAGCAGTTGTTGCTCTTATAGAGGACCCAGGTTCTGTTCCCAGTTCCCACACGGTGGCTCACAATCACCCTTAATTCTAGTTAGGATTCAATGCCTTATTCTGACGTCTGTAGGCACCACTAGGTATAACATGTGGTGCACAAGCATACATGGAGGGAAAACACTACTGTGGAAATTTAAGAAAAAAATTAAAATTTGAGAAAGAAAAGAACGTTAAACTATCAATTACTTATCCTTAATGGATCTTATTTGCATTCTAGGTCAAACATTTTTTAAAAAATATACATTTAGCTGGGTAGGAGATACATAGCAGTAAACCAAAAACTCTAGAACCTGCACAAGGAAAATTGAGTTACAGACCAGCCTATGCTACATTTAAATTAAAGACTCTATCTCTAATAGATAACAAAAACAAAAAAAGTGGGCTCAGCAGGTGAAAATAGCTGCCTTCAGAGTGTGACAATGTGAGTTCAATCCTCAGAACCAAACTGTACAAAGAAAACAGTACCAACATCCATTGCACTCCTACAATAAATAAAATGCAATAAAGGATTGTCAGGTGAGCCTGGCATTGGTGGCGCATGTCTTTGATCCCAGCACCTGAGAGGTAGAGGCACGTAGATCTCTGTGAGTTCAAGGCCAGCCTGGTCTACACAGCTAGTTCCAGGACAGGCTCCAAAACAGAGAAACCCTGTCTCAAAACAAAACAAAAAAAACCAAAACCACAAAAAGTTAGGTGCTGATGATAAATAAAGGTGCTTGCCACAAGCCTGACCACTTGAGTTCATATCCTGAACCCACATGGTGAAGGAGAAAATCAACTTCCAGAAGTTGTCTTCTGACCCCAACACTTACACTGTGGTGTGTGACATTCACTTTTGCAAACAATAAATGTGAATTTTTATTACTAAACCACACATTTACGGCAGAGAGAACTGAACTCTGACTAGTTCCTCAATATTTAGGAATCTTTCCCTTTTTTAATGTGCGTGGGTGCATTTATTCAGATGAGAGGACAACCTTGGGTACTGGTCCTCATAGTCCATCTTGAGACAGTCTTTTGTTGTTCAGTCACCCTATATGAGGCTAGCTAGCCTGCAAGCTTCCAGGGGCTGTCTGTCTCTATCTCCCATCTTGTGGCTTTAAGTGGGATCTGGGGATACAAACTCAAGCCATTTGTTTATTTGGAGGGCTCTAGTACAAAAAGTTAAATAGGGGCTGCAGAGATGGCCCAGTGGTTTTTAAGACATTCAGTCACTTGTAACGCCAGCTCTAGGGAATTAGACACTTCTGGTCTCTAGGGATACCCATATACATGAGTGGCGCGCGCGCACACACACACACACACACACACACACACACACACACACACACACACACACACACACACACGCACACACACTTTTAAAAGGTGCAAGTGGTTCTTCCAGTTATTGTATTCTCTTTAAAACATTTGGTGGTGCACACCTTTAATCCCAGAACTCGGGAGGCAGAGGCAGGTAGATCTCTGTGATTTGAGGCCAACCTGGTCTACAGAAAAGTTCCAGGACAGGCTCCAAAAGCAATACAAAGAAACCCTGTTTGGTAAAACTAAAACAAACAAACAAACAAAAAATCCAAAAACAAAACATTTGGTCAGGTCACATTGTTACCATCTTATTAATACCTGCATTCTGAAAACATCCTTTAATGTTCACATAGGTCCGAGGAGGCCTTTATAAGAACTACTTACTTCTCCCCCCCCCCCCCCCCCCCGAAAAGGCTTAGAAAGGCATGGCACAATACAGAAATCACTGGCCTCAAGTTTATGGTTATTGAGCAACTTCAAATGTGCCTAATACAGCATGTTAAGGGGCTGAGGCAAGAGGATCCATTAACTGTCATCCTGAATCCTCGCAGTAGTGGTGCACTAACACTTGGGAGGCAGAGGCAGAGGCCAGCCTGGTCTACAGAGTGAGTGCCAGGACAAGCTCCAAAGCTAGTCTT